TTTCAAAGATGTATTAATGAAGTAGTTAGTGGTTTAGATTTTGTTTTTACATATATTGATGATCTATTGGTTGCAAGTGAAAATGAAGAACAGCATTTTAAAGATCTCCGTATACTTTTCCAACGCCTAACAGAGTACGGGTTAAATATCAAACCAAGTAAATGTATTTTCGGTGTAACAAGTGTTGACTTTTTAGGACATAATATTTCTGGGGCAGGAATTAGACCCTCTGATGAAAAAGTGATAGCAATTCGTAGTTTTGAACGTCCTAAATCTATTAAACAGGCGCAGAAATTTATAGGCATGGTTAATTATTACCATCGATATGTACCAAAATTAGCTGAGTTTACGGCAGTTATCTACGATTTAATCAATCGAACAACTAAGAAACGTGACAAGTCCTTAATTTGGGATGACACAACAAATAAAGCCTTTGAATGTATTAAAGAAAAGTTTGCGTCTACGATATTGTTAAATCATTTTAACAAAGATGCCAAACTCTCTTTAAATGTGGATGCATCTAATACGGCAATTGGTGGTGTCATACATCAAACGTTTGATAACAAATCAGAGCCACTAGCTTTCTTTTCTAAGAAACTTTCTCCATCCGAAGTTAAGTACAGTGCATTTGACAGGGAGTTGCTAGCTATTTATTTGAACATTAAACATTTTCGCTATCTTTTAGAAGGACGACAATTTACAGTTTTTACGGATCACAAGCCTTTGATATATGCATTGAGTTCAAAAACCGAACGTAGTCCGAGACAAACTAGACATATGGAATTCATTGCACAATTTACTAATGACATACGATATATTAAAGGACAGGAGAACATTATAGCTGACACATTATCTCGAGCTTTCGAAGTTGATGCAATTAAGGGTACAGAACTGAATTTCAAAGTTTTACAAAATGAACAAGAACAGGATGAGGAACTTAACACATTAAAATCTGGAGCTACATCACATAACCTTAAATTAATTCAAATTCCACTTTTAAATTTTAATATTTGGTGTGAAATGACAGGTGAGAATCCTAGGCCATTTGTTCCAAATTGTTTACGCAAGACAGTGTTTAATATGCTACTATAAAAACTCTCCTCATCTACAGAAAATTACCTTTCCAACGGTGTTCTTGGTTTTGGAATCGGTAAATTTTCCTTGGTCTTCATCTTTGTTTTTATCTTTCATATCTTTGGTTTTATCCTTTTCTTTATCTATTCACGTAGATGAGATGAGGTGTGATGACGTGATAAGATGTGACTTGATTTTACGTCATATGATAGGATGTCATGTCATGTGCTGCCATATCCTGTGATGTCATGTCATATGATGTCATATCATGTGATGCCACGTTATGTAATGCGATGTCATGTCACACGATGTCATGTATTTTGCTTAATAGTTTGCTCATATCGTGTGATGTCAAGTCATGTGATGTCATGCTATATAATGTGATGTCATATCATATGATGTCATGTCACGTGATATCGTGTGATGTGATATCATATTATGGATGTAATATAATGTGAAGTCTCATCATATCATGTGATATAATGTGAAGTGATGTCATGTAATGTGATCGCATTCCATGTTCCGATTATTACATCGGTAACCCTGTCGATAACTGTTTCAATAAAAATACCGATAACTATATCCATAAACATATAGAAAAATACAACGATTGCAAAATCGATTTATTCATCGATAGATATAACAATCATCAGTATCGATTATTGTACATATCGATAACAATATAGACTACTAAATCGATAACAAAATCAATTATTTGATCGATTATTATACCGATAACAATATCCATTATTGTATCGATGACAATATCGATTATTATATCGATAACATTATCGATTATTATTTTGATTACAATAGCGGCTATTTGATCAATAACAATATCGATTATTTTATCAATAGCAATATCGATTATTATATCGAGTTTTATAAAGATAACAATATCGATCTTCCTCATCCTTTTCTTCATATTTATCTTTATTTCTGCATATTCCTCTTCACCTTTACCTTAAAGTGTTTAACAGCCCTATTCTGTTGCCCTCACAAAAATCACCACACTCACTTTGTGAGGTTTATGACTATTGTGAGGTTATCCATATGCTGGTGGCCATTTCACTCCGATTTCAAAATGAGATTATTTACCACTTTTTTTTTAATTAAAGGTCGAAAATTTTGGTGAAAAATCGTTAAATTTAACTTTGCTTTGTATGTTTCAAAACACGGTTTATGTGGTTCTAAGCATGATTATATTTTTTTTAAATAATAACAAACAAATTTTAACTCTCAATATATTGTGAATATTTAAAAAAGAAATGGGGTACGCAGACTTTTGCTGTTAAGTGTAACTTAACTAAATTTTATGGTTATATTTTGCATTCAGTTTTATACGTACGTATACATATATGTATAAAAATGACATTATTGTTACCAATAACTACTTTTTTGGAAATATTTTAGCAGCTGTCCCATAAACTAGAGAATTAATGATAAATGTTATTAGTTTTTGGGTCTAAGAAAATCGAAAAAATATAGTATAGAACATTTGTGCATCTTTTGTCAGCTTTCACATGACCTAGATGAGTAAAATTGATGACAGCATAACTAGCAACATATGAGTTTCAACTGTCCAGCTCTGCATCCCTTTTGCAGTAGTTCAGCGACAGTTCTGAGATTTCTAGGGCGGAACTAGCGTTTTGCCAGACTGTCTCTAAATTGTACGGTATTAAAGCATTCTTACAAGATATGTATCTCCATATGTAAATGCTACATCTCTGATACATTTTAATATACGCGGACATACAAAAAAGTAGCACTTACATATGCAAATGTATTTCTTGTAAAAGCCCGTTTGTGCTGAAAATAGTATCGCGTCCGTTCACTAAAATGTTTGTACAAGACTGAAAATATTACAAAAACAACGACAACGTACATTCGCTTGCAATTCGCTAGAATGTGCATTTATTCGTGGAAATTCATGACTACACATGAATTGTTCACACTAATTCATTCATATAGCAAGCATTCTTCATGAATGCATAGAACCGATTTCTTCTGGGTAGGTACACGAAGCATGCTTGCTTCATTCATAAATTGCTTGGTAGGAGGAAAGCTGCAATGCGAAATGTGTTCGTATATACATTTATCTGTACATACGTGTATGTACGTACATATGTATGCATGCACGATCCAGAAAATAAAGGTCGCCCCATTCGCGGACCGCTAACCCTTTCTTCGTCGATTTGACAGCATCCTTAGGGTTGCCTGATATCTCTGTTGCCAAACCGGGACACTTTAGAGAGGGCCTCTCGCCCCCTTCTCTTTCATCTCTTTCATTTCATGAAATCATTCCAACGTACGCCAACAAAACAAAACAACTTATCACAACTAAATCACAGAGAATATTTCACAATGCATGAACCTTTTTTTATTCTTTATAAAAATACAGTTTATAATAAATATATGAAAAAAAACAAAAATAAAATTGTAAACTCGGGAAAATTCAATAAATTTGCATACAAATTTGCAACAATCTAATCAGACTTTTTATAAAAATTTTGAAAATTAAGTTTTGCCGACCATTAAATTTTAGTTGATTTTTGGTATTGTTTTTACTGAGAGTTTCTTCCATACAAACTATGTTCAATAATTCTTTTTATATGGAAGACACTGTCAGCAAAAAAAAATAAATGCTAAAAATCAACGAAATTTGCCGGCAACTTCAGACTTGCACTTTATTAATTGGCTCAAAAGCTACATTTTCAAAATTTTTCTAAAAGATCTAATTAGAAATTGTGATCTGATGAAAGAGCTTCCGAGCCAATAATTTTGTACGGCACTGTACTTATAAGTACTCTAGGTTTCATGAAAGAAAAAAATTTAAGTACAAGATAACATTAAAATATCAGTCATATTTTTCGTTGCTGTCAACTTGTTTCAAAACTTCGGTCTTTTCCTTAATATAATTGTAAAACTCTGTGCACGTCATTTTGAACGTATTTAGGCACATATACTAATCATCAACTATTGCTTGTGCAAAGTTCAACTATCTCGAAATGTGACTATTTCACAAATTAAACCGGTGCACTGAGAGAAAGAAGTTTAGAATTAAAAAAGCGTGCTAAATTAAAAAATACGCATATGAAAGAGCAACAACCCAACTCGTAATACATTTAAGTATACAAATTTTAGTATTTAGTATAGAAATATTCAATTCAAATACGCCCATATTAAAATGAAGCGATTTGCAATTACCGATTGCTTTTTCATAATTAAGTT